TGTTACTAATAGACACGGGAATTATACCAAATGAAAAAAAGATTTATTATTAAAAATTAATTGAAAATATAACACCGCTTTCCCTACGAAAAAATTAGTAACCACCACGTGAAATATTAGAAAAAATTATGAGGGAAAAAGAAATGGAAATGAATATTAATTGCAAATAAATATAGCATGATTAGATTTACTTTAATTAGTTTTAATTTCCTTAATGAAATGACTTTTCTTTATCAGTTTTTTTTTATGGAAGCCTAAGGGCATCCTCAAAAGGGGATTTTAGGAAGGTTTTGGAACAGTAAAATGAGTTTTCACAAATGGGAGGGTAAACTTTTTGAGGAGATTTTACTCCTGCAAAATGGAGTTCTTTAGGGGCCCACATGCAGAGATAAAAGGAAGAAGGAGAAGGTGCAGGCGCGCCTGAGGCGCACCTGCTGCGCCCAGCTGGCGCGTGCACTGCACGCGCCTGCTGGGCGCGTGAATGATCTTTTTTTTTTTTTTTTTTTTTACTTTTCATGTCAGGCTTTTTTTTTTTGCTTTTTTTTCTTCTTCCCTTTTTCTCTTCCCTCTACCCTCTCTTTCCTACATGGCTATGACAAAATCTCTTAAAAATGCCTCACTATTGAGGTTGCCCTAATGGAGTGTTTGGATTGCTGGAAAATATTTAAAAATAAAAATACATACTAATAAAAAATAATTTAAAATATTTTTTAACCCCTCATAACATGTGTAAATGTTATATATATATATATATATATATATATATATATATATATATATATATATATATATATATATATATATATATTAAATACAATTTGATGAATATCATAATTTTTGTTTATAATAGTTAAAGAAAAAAATAAATAATTCAAAGATGTGAACCAATGATTTCAAAATGAAATTAATATACAGTTACAAATAAATATAGCATGATTAGATTTACTTTAATTAGTTTTAATTTTCTTAACGAAATAACTTTTATTTTTCAGTTTTTTATTAGAGACTAAGGGAGTGTTTGGGTTGCTAGAAAATATTTTAGAAATAAAAATACTTACTAATAAAAAATAATTTTGAATATTAAAAATAAAAAAGTCATATAATAAAAAAAAAATATGCTCTCTAAGAATGCTCTCTCAAACCCGCCGGAAAACCAGCAGCCGGCTGGTACCACAACGGAGGAGTCTGATATCCTCCACCGCAGCACGAAGAAAACGAAACGAGGAATGTCGGACAGAGAGTCTGACGAGATGGAAATGATGATTGAATCGGAGGTTCCAGACAGGAACGAGAATGAGAAGAACAAACCGGAGGAACCTCCTGTTGGCCAGAATTCCCAGAACTTTGACAAAACGAAGAGGTCCTTTAGAGGAGCTCTGACGGGGTTGGAAGACAAGGATCTCACGAACGACGTATCTGATGACGAAGCCGGTGAACAGGAAGACGATGATCCGGACTGTCCTGTATTGAAGCTTACTAAAGAGGAGAAGATAAGGATGAGAAAGAGATGGGAAAACACTTTGATTATTAAGGTGCTTGGAAAGACAGTAGGATACAACTACCTGCTGAGAAGACTGCGAACCATCTGGAACCCGAAATCAGGTATGGATCTGATAGCGATTCAGAATGGATATCACCTTGTGAGATTTTCATCTGTGGCTGATTATGAACATGCAAAACTGGAGGGCCCTTGGACGGTGCTTGATCATTGCTTAGCAGTGAAAGAATGGGAACCAGACTTTGATCCCATGCGAGATGAAACTCAAAGACTTCTGGTTTGGGTTCGTGTTCCGTGTCTCCCGATCGAGTACTACGACTACAAGTTCTTAATGAGACTTGGTGGAATGATAGGAACTGCAGTGAAGGTGGATCAGACAACAAGCATAGCATCCCGAGGTCTCTTTGCGAGAATCTGCGTTGAGGTTGACGTGACGAAACCCCTAATCGCAAGATTCAAACTGAGGAATAAGCTCAGGACCGTGGAGTATGAAGGACTCCATCTTGTATGCTTCAAATGTGGAATGGTTGGACATCGCAAGGAGGCATGTAAAATGGCTATCTATCAAGAGGAGGAAGAACAGAGGGTGGACGGCGGCGCAACATCGGAGAAGGCGAAAAGCAGTACGCCGGAGACGAGGGGTGTTCAAGAAAGGAAAGAAGGAGAATCAAGTGCGAGAAATCAGGGAGTGCAACGGTCTTTTGAAAACAAATATGGTACGTGGATGATTGCTCAAAGGAAAACCAGAAACTACCAAAAATGTGATGATTACAGAGGAAATCAAGGGAGAGATATTGAAAAGAAAGGAAACACCTATGTTAGGAAAGATAAGGAAGATCAAAGAAACAATGGGAGTGCTTTTAACAAAGAAGGTTTTAAAGTTTGGAATAATACACGTTTCGGTGCTAGGGGTGTGCAAAAACCGACCCACCCGAATTACCCGACCGACCCGAACCCGTTTAAGCTCTATTTGGGGCAATCCGAACCCGAACAGCATGAACCGAACCGATTCTACGGAAATAAGCCGGTTTGGAGGAGGCGGGTTGGGGCTTATAAATTCCCCCCCGAACCCGTCCGATTACCCGAATTAGGGTAAGGGTTCATTTACCCTAAGGTATACGACGTCGTCCTAGCGATGTATATATGTGTTGCGTTCGATGGAGAACTCTCTAGAAACCCTCATTTGCGCAGCTTCCTCTTCTTTCTTCTGACCTCTGAGAACTCTCTGGAAACCCTAGCCATTCCACTCGTTCTCTCGTGAGTCTCGTCTTTCTCATCTGAAAATCTGAAATCTGATACTCGTTCTGTCATGAGTTTCTTCTCCAGTTCTCTGATTCTGTGAGAGAGTGAGACGCTTCGTTCTCTCGTTCTCTCTGAGTTTCTTCTAGAGACTAAGAGTGATATTGTTCGGTGGAAGCTGAGAGTGTGAGTCTCCGGTGGAACTCGTGGAAGCTAGGTAATATTGTTCGGTGGAAGCCCTATTCTGGACGACCGGTGTCCGGTGGCCGGTGCGGTGGATTGTAGAGTGCTCAGTGCTGTCACGGACTCACGGTCTAACGGATTTGAAGCCCTTTGTTCTTGGGGGTTTGATTTGGAGAAACGAAGTAATCTCTAAACCCTAATCTTAGACTTACTTAGATTATACTCTTATATGTTGTGATACTTTGGTGTTAGTTGTGATTGTATGATTCTGATGACTGTGACACTGAATCTGTTGAGAAGTTCCGGATTCTGATGTCACTTGTCCCTTATTTGTGAATTTTTTATCCTTTGATTAGGGTTTCTATGATTATGTCATTTATGTGGACTGTGACACTGTGGATCTGTTGAGAAGTTTCGGATTCTGATGTCACTTGTCCCTTAGTTGTGAATTTTTGATCCTTTGATTAGGGTTTCTATGATTATGTCATTTATGTGGACTGTGACAATGTGAATCTGTTGAGAAGTTCTGGATTCTGATGTCACTTGTCCCTTAGTTGTGAATTTTTGATACTGTGATTAGGGTTTCTATGATTATGTCATTTATGTGGACTGTGACAATGTGAATCTGTTGAGAAGTTCTGGATTCTGATGTCACTTGTCCCTTAGTTGTGAATTTTTGATACTGTGATTTGGGTTTCTATGAGTATGTGGTTTGTGATTGTCTGTATTGTTTGTGGAAGCCCCTAAGTCCCTAACCCAGTAACCCCTGTTGAGTGTTGGCAATTGGATGTTGCCTGTGTTGGTGTAAATGGTGGATTGGTGGAAGCCCCAATTGTAACTACCAACTCTTAAATCCAGTAAAATGATGAGAAAGTGTTCAGGCTAACAGGTTCCTGATTACTGGATTTCTTTGTCACTTTGTGTGATTTATGTGATACTGTGATTGTATCACTGTATGCCTGTATAGATTATAACTTATAAGTTATAAGTTTATGGATGCATGACCCTTAATAGTTAATTTCTTAAAGTCCCAACTATGAAATTTAGAAAAATGATGAAGTTAAGAGGTGCCTGTCTTCTGATTCTGGATTTCTCTATTTCTCTCAGTTGTCTGTGACTATCTGAATATCTGTACTTGTTCAATATGTTTCCCACTGAGTAGTGACCACTATACTGATGGTATTCCATTTACTTAGATGGAAAATATCATAGAGTCTGGAAGTCAACCTTCTAAATCTTCAATTGATGGGTCTACAGTGGTGGAAGGCCAAACTGTTGACACAAATAATCAACAGAATGTGTAACCTACTACTGCAGTTCCTGAGAAGAAGAGGAAGATTGTTGAGTCCAGATCTCCAGTGTGGGATCATTATGAAAAAATTAAGGATAGTACTGGTGTTACTATCAAAGGCAAGTGTATATATTGTGCCAAAATATATCAATGTCAGTCTAAAAAGCATGGTACTACCTCCTTGAGAAACCACATGCTTAGCTGTCTGAAAAACCCCCACTCTAAAGACACTAGACAATCACTGTTAACCTTTCAAGCTATTACAAATTCTGATGCATCTCCTGCTACTGTTGGTGAGTTAGGAACTTGGGTCTTTAACCAGGAAGCTATTAGGAGGGCCTTGGTTGAAATGATTATAATTGATGAACTGCCTTTTAGATTTGTGGAGGGTCCAGGGTTTAGGAAGTTCATTCTGGTGGTTTGTCCTAGGTTTAAGATTCCATCTAGATGGACAATTAGTAGGGACATCAATCTGATTTATGAAGAAGAAAGATTGAAGTTGAAATGTGTTTTTAGGGGGAACACTCAAAGAGTCAATATTACAACTGACACTTGGACTTCTATTCAGAGAATTAACTACATGGTAGTGACTGCCCATTTTATAGATGAAGAGTGGAAGCTTAACAAGAAGATTATCTCATTGTCCCTATTACATCACATAAGGGTGAGGCTGTAGCAAAAGTCCTTGAAACCTGTTTGCTTGATTTGGGGATTAGGAATGTGTATAGTATAACTATAGACAATGCTTCATCTAATGACACTGCTATAGGTTTTTTAAAAAAGAAATTGATGTCTTGGGGAACATCTACTGTGAAGGGCAAGTATATTCACATGAGATGTATTGCCCATATTCTGAACCTTGTTGTCCAAGATGGCCTGAAACAATGTGATTCTTCTGTGAAGAGGGTAAGGGAGGCTGTAAGATATGTGAGGAGTTCACCTGCTAGACTTAAGAAATTTAGGGACTTGGCTGAGTGGAATGGGATTGAACATAAATCATCTTTGTGTCTAGATGTTCCAACCAGATGGAACTCTACATATCTTATGTTACAATCTGCAATTATTTATGAGAAAGTGTTTGAGTCACTTGAAGAAAGTGATACTACCTACAAAGCAGATCTGTCTGATGCTGTTCCTACTTTTCTTGATTGGGAGTCTGTGAAGAGTTTGGTGGAGATCTTGAAATGTTTTTATGATATGACAATAAGAATTTCTGGTTCTTTATATGTCACTTCTAACACTTTCTTTTCTGAAATTTCTGATTTATACTGCCTCTTGAATGGCATGGTGGAAGCTGGAGGGTCTGTGCAACTGATGGGAGAAAATATGAAGGCTAAATTTGAGAAATATTGGGGGGATATAGATAAAATGAACTTGATGATATTCTTTGCAAACATTCTAGACCCAAGAGACAAGTTAGAGTACATGGCAGCACAAATGAATCACATGTATGGTGAGGCAAAAGGTAAACCATACTATGAGAAAGTGATTGCAGCCTTGAAAGAGTTGTTTAATGATTATGCTGCCTCTACTCCTGTCTCTACTCCTGCCTCTACTCCTGTCAGTACTCCTACTGATTTTTCACAGTCTACAGTTGGGAGGCCCCAACATTTGTTAAAGTCACAGATTAAGAAACAAAGATTGGAGACTGGGGGAATGAAAAAAACTGAGTTAGAAATTTACCTTGCTGAGGCAATACTTGAAGAAGAAACCTCTTTTGACATACTTAGATGGTGGAAGTTGAATGCTGAAAGGTTTCCTATCCTTTCTAAGATAGCTAGGGATGTTTTAGCTATACCAATATCTACTGTTGCATCAGAATCTGCCTTCAGTACATCTGGTAGGGTTTTGGATCCTTTTAGGAGTTCATTAACTCCTAAAATTGTGGAAGCTTTGGTCTGTACACAGGATTGGCTTAGGCTATCAAATACCCCATTATCAATTGAGGAAAATCTGGAGGAATTGGAGAGATTTGAACAAGGTAACACATTCTATTCAATTTTTTTTAACAATTTGTTATTTCCTATTTTCCTTATAATTTTTTGTTGTTGCAGAAATTGGGACTGATGGTGGCAGTGGAACTGGAAGGAGTGGTGGTTCTACACTTGCTACAATTCCTGTAATGCTATGCTTTGTACTTTATACTTTATACTGCTGTTTCTGTTTGAATGTATTCTGTAATACATTTATGGTGTTTGCCTGTTATTCATGACTCATGAGGCTTGCTTGCAGCTGGCTTGGTAACTAATTAAATTAGTTGCTGCCATTGTAAGTTGTTACATTGTTGGTAAGTTGGCACATTTTACAATTTGTTTATGTTTTATACTTTTATTATATTATGGCTATGATGAAAGCTTCCACCAATGATCTGAAAAATAAGGGATTAAGCTGGTATGTTGCTCCATCCTCGTGGGGATGTTGTAGCAATTTCCCCTTAATCCTAACTTTGATATGGATAAAAAGCATACTGAGCCAAGTTTATAAATTATAACTGTCTAATGATATTCTGTTGCTCAATAACTTATTTTTGCTATTTGGCATTTTGACTTATTGCTAACTTTGCTTAAGTTTTGAGTGTTTACAGGAAGATGAAGAACAATAGGAAGAGATTAGGAACTCTAGGAAGACTAGGAAGTAGGAACTTGGAAATTCAGTACTTTTTTGGCATGTAATTGCAATTTGCAAGGATAATTTTTTGACTTAAGTGCATATTTAGTAGTATTTTGGCATGTAATTGCAGTTAGAGTAAAATGTAATTGCATGTATGTTATATTAACTTTTTATATTTACACTGTTTTGTTCAATTTTGTAGTGCTTTTCCTTTATTTCATTATTATTGAACTATCCGAAATTGGTTCGGATATCCGACCGAACCGACCCCACCCGAAGTTCAGTCAACCCGAGTAGATTTCTTAGATTAAAAAACGAAATAGGATTTAAATAATGATATCCGAAATCCGAAAGGGTTGCCCATCCGCCCACCCGAACCGCCCCGAACCGACCGATGCACCCCCCTATTCGGTGCCCTAGACAACTCAGATGGAGAAAATGAAGAAATAACCCATGAAGAGGAACCAGAGTGGGAGAGGCCGGAAGGCCCAACTGGAGCTTTACTATCAGGAAAAGGAAAGAGGCCCCAAATCCAAATATCGGAGGCCCAGATATTAAATGATAAATCCACACATAGGAAAGACAAAAACATGAGCAGCAACACTGTGCACAAAAAAAAGGAAGATAACAGAAGTGAGGCCAAGAGCAATAGGAGATCAAAACAAGCAGCAGAGACAGATAGTCATACGGTGGTTAAGAGCTACGATAATGGTATTAAAGTGGTAAGAACAATGATATCGGAAGAAGGAGAAATAAAGGAAGAGGTGTTCACCGGCAACGAAGCAGGGGAGCACCATAACGACCCTCCTTTCGAAGATTCTAACGAAGAACTGGGTGAGCAGGAAGATCCTATGTGCGATGTGGAATTTGAAAGAGGCCAGTCATCGACTGGTAGGGGTGCTAACCCGCAGTAGGGCACCCCGTTTGTTCTCTCCTTGCTTTTGGGCTGTGTTTCTTTTTTCTGTTTCTTTATGAAGATCATTAGTTGGAATTGCCAGGGTGCCGCGTCTAGAGGATTTAGACGCGCACTTCTCCTTTTAGTTAAGAAAGCTAAAGCTGATGTTGTGGGCCTTATGGAACCAAGAATATCGGGAGGGTCTGCAGACAAGGCTTGTAAGAGCTTCGGTTTTGAAAACTGGATGAGAGTTGAAGCCGTGGGCTTCAGTGGGGGTATCTGGATCCTTTGGAAGAATAATTACAAAGTGGATATTATTGCCACAAACCCACAGTTTGTTTTAACCAGAATAAGCCAGGGGAACAAAAACTTTGGTTTAGTTTCTTTTGTTTACGGGAGCCCGTCAAATAGCTTTAGGAAAAAGTTATGGGATGGCCTCTCAAACGACCATTACTGTATGGACGAAGGCTGGCTAACGGTGGGGGATTACAACGCCATCACATGCATGGAAGACGTGAGCAATGGAGAGAACTTCCACAATCACCGTTGCACAGGTATGAATCAATGGATATTTAAAGAAGGATTGATTGATCTGGGTTTTTATGGTTCTAGGTTTACGTGGACTCGAGGACGAGGGAAAGAGACTTTTACCGGCGCCAGATTAGACCGGGCGTTATGCAACCTCGAATGGCTTTCGCGATATCCCAACAATAAGGTGACACACTTACCTCGTTTCTGTTCTGACCACTCTCCCCTCCTCATCAAAACTGAGAAAGAAGGGGAGGGAGGGAGAGTTTTTTCTTTCATGTTTCAGGCTGCATGGACCAGGAGTCCACAATTCCTAAAACTCGTTGGGAAAGAGTGGGACAATAACAAAGCTTGGGGAGACAATATTTCCATGCTTCAAACGAAATGCACAGAATGGAATAGAAAGGATTTTGGCAGCATTGAGGGCAGGAAGAATAAGCTCATGGCCAGAATAAATGGAATCCAAGGCTGCATGCATAATCAACCCAGCAACGGTCTTTTGAAGCTTGAAAGAAAGCTTCGAGCAGATTTGGAAGAAACTTTGTATCAGGAAGAACTAAAATGGTTTCAGAAATCAAAGGAAGACTGGATATGCTCGGGCGATCGGAATACTAAGTTCTACCACGCAGCAACTACGGTTAGAAGGACAAAGAACAAGATTCATGGCTTGAAAAATAATAGAGAAGAATGGATCACCGACAAAGACCAAGTTCAGGCTCTTGTTCAGGACTATTTTATACGTCTCTACTCTAGAGAAAGTGCTGAAAATGCAAATATTGTTACAGAAACCCTCACAGGTAGATTTCCTATTCTTGGGGACGCTTACTGGAACAATATGAACAGGGAGGTGAGTAAGGAAGAAGTCAAGCAGGCAGTCATGGCAATGGCCCCTCTTAAGGCTCCGGGACCGGATGGGTTCCATGCGATGTTCTATCAACAAACATGGAGCATCGTGGGCGATAGTTTATTTAACCTTGTTTCAAACTTTTTTCGAACAGGGAGCCTCCCGGACAACCTCAATGAAACGAACTTGGTGCTCATTCCTAAAATTCCAAATCCTGAGAAGGTGACTCAACTTAGGCCTATAAGCCTTTGCAACGTGGCTTACAAGGTAGTCACGAAAGTAATGACTAATAGATTAAAAATGATTATGGAGGACCTTATTAGTCCAAACCAAAGCAGCTTTGTTTCAGAAAGACAGATCACGGACAACATAGTGATCTATCAGGAAACTCTTCATACAATAAGAACAGGGAAGAAGCAACAGGATTACATGGTCGTGAAGATTGACCTCGAGAAAGCCTACGATAGGCTTGACTGGAATTTCATTAGGTCCACCCTCCGGGATGTGGGTTTAAATGACACTTGGGTTCGCAATATAATGCATTGTGTCGAAACTGCAGGTATGTCAATCCTGTGGGAAGGTAAGAATCTAGAGAGATTCAAGCCGGAAAGAGGAGTCAGACAGGGCGACTCCATCTCTCCCTACATCTTTGTCCTTTGCATTGAAAGGCTTGGGCACATTATTACTGAAGCGGTAACGCAAGGCCGCTGGAAAGGGATCAAAACTGCAAGAAATGGTCCTACCATATCGCATCTCTTCTTCGCTGACGATATGGTTATTTTCGCGGAAGCAAATGAGGACCAAGCAGAAACTATAATGGACTGTCTTGATAAATTCTGTAAGTTTTCTGGGCAAAAAATAAACAAGCTTAAATCAAATATATATTTCTCGCCTAACATTTGCAGGACTAAAGCAAACCGTTTGGCTGAGAAGACTGGTATACCAGAGACCAAGGATCTGGGAAGATACCTTGGAGTGCCATCCATCCACGGGAGGGTAACAAAAGACCACTGTAAAAGCATTATGGATAGGGTCCAAAGCAGATTGGAGGGGTGGAAGACCAAATTTCTAAGCCTTGCAGGGAGACAGGTGCTTACTCAATCAGTCCTAAACGCTATCCCAGCATACGCTATGCAAACTATGTTGCTACCTAAAGGAGTCTGTGATGTAATTGACAAAACTACAAGGAATTTCCTTTGGGGGGGAGACGGGACTAATAGAAAGACAAGTCTCGTGAACTGGAATACAGTCACGCTTCCGAAAGATGAGGGTGGTCTGGGGATAAAATCCATGCGTAATATGAACATTTCCCTCCTTGCTAAACTTGGATGGCGAATCCTAAACGAAGACAATGTTTGGACCAAAGTCATGGCATCCAAGTACATGAATTCTGGGAAATGTATTGAAAATATGAGAAGGAAGCGCTGTGACTCAAATACTTGGAAAGGGATTTGTGCGGCAGCTCCTATCCTCGAAAAGGGAATAAAAAAGATAGTGAAAAATGGCAAGGCTACTAGCTTTTGGAGTGATCGTTGGGTGGGGAACGAACCTCTTAGGAAGTCGCTCATTGGACCACTTAATAAAGGTGACGAGAATTTGAAAGTGGCGGATGTTTGGGATGGCAGAGGATCATGGCTCTGGAATAGAATTGACAATACTTTGCATCCAGACAAGCGCAAAGAGTTAGCAGCAATTTTCGTCCTCAACGATGAGAGGAAACCGGACAAAATGGGATGGGGTGTCAACGAGGATAACATCTTCTCTACCAAATCAGCTTATGGTCTAACTATGCAAAACAACGACAGACCTAACAAAGCAGATTGGAGGAGAATTTGGAGGTTACGAGTGCCAAATAAAATCAGAACCTTTATCTGGCTTGTTAAGCATGGTAGAATCATGTGCAACACTGAGAGATACAAATGAGGCTTCACTGCGGACGAACGGTGCGGCTTATGTGGAGCAGATAAAGAGGACGTGGACCACGTAATGAGGAGCTGCCCGGCAGCTAAGGAAATCTGGAGCCACAGCAATTTAATGGAAAACCCAGGTATGTTTTTCTCCATGGAGTTTAATTCGTGGCTAATGCATAATCTGGCAGGTACGAACGGAGGCCAAAAAGAAAAGAAAAAGAGTGCTCGTTTCGCCATTATCACTTGGTGGATTTGGAGGTGGAGGAACAGTCACATATTCAATGGAGAGGAGCGAACCATCAGCGAGAAGATGGAGTGGATCCACAGGCAATTCAAGGAGATTGAAACAGCTATGGACAAGAGCTCAGGACCGGGAAGACGGCAAGGTGGCGAGAGTCGTCGTTGTCAGCCATGGCAACCTCCTGAACCAGGGTGGATAAAGTTAAACACAGATGGAGGAACAGGAAGAAATAATGATGCTGTGTGCGGCGGTATTCTAAGAAATGCAGAAGCTGATTTCGTAGGTGCCTTCTCCAAGAAGGTAGGAGCCTGTGGGGCGGTGGAAGCTGAACTATGGGGGATATACATTGGTGTAAACAAAGCATGGGAGCTGGGGTACCGGAAGGTGATCGTGGAGACAGACTGCATGAGAGCAGTTTCCCTGATCAACAGCACTGAAGAATACGAGGGCCCTGCAAGCAACCTAGTATCCTGGTACAAGGAAATAAGAAATCGGCAATGGGAAATCCATCTAAAACATGTTCCCCGGGAACAAAATAGAGCAGCTGACATACTGAGTAGGCGAGCATATGATAAAGATGACACCATCACATGGTTTGAGAGCCCTCCGAGAGAAATCCAAAGAACCCTGCGGGAAGATGAGCT